AGAACCGTGCTCCAGATCTGCTGCGTTGTTGCAACTACCAAGCAGCATCGAAGCTCCATTTTTACCATCTGTTGGCTTACGGAATAAGGGTGGCTCATCTTCAGCATCTTCTTCATCAAATTTGCGTTTTTTGCAATTTTTCTATATAAAAAGGTTTGCTAGGTGAGTATGTGTTTCCAAAAAAAAATGCTCACAGGTGGTGGCCGAAGTTTCCCGTCCACCAAAACATAGCGCCTGAGGTCGTCTCTTAAAGCTATAATTTCAAGCCAAAATAGGAAGGAAAACTATAAAGAAGACGCTTACAGTGCATGAGAGAGTGAGGTCCGTATTTTACTTGGCCAAGTTGCCAGCAGGAGCATTCGTCTTTCCCATTCCTGTTCCCGCGCCTGTTCATTTACTCCAAGATTAAGCCAGAATCTAAATATTTCTGTTTAATTAACAAATTAAATAATGTAAAGAAGAAATGAACTGTGAAAGTATTGCTGAGTATGAGAGTTACAAACCTATTTTTGGAGCCCATTAACTTTTCTTTTGCTCCTATAACCAACTCATCGCCCTTTAAACCTGAGGCATCCATCGCAAAATCTTAACATTTTGTATATCATAACAAGGATCCACTTTCCACCACAAATTTCACCTTTTTGCCCGAGACCTTGTTAAACTGGCATAATTAGAGTAACGGTAGTAACACTAACCAACAAGAAACTTTACAATCGGTTCCGGTAAATCCTTGATAGATGCTTTCTTGCCGCTATATTGTAACCTAACAGCATATTCTCGAATATTCGGAGGATTTGAGTGAATCTAAAAACAAGTAACGTTTAGGTAGAAAAATTTCGGAAAAATATACAGAAAACGAACTTTCTTCAAAATTCTTCGGAAAAAGTCCGTAATCACCAACGATTCCTTCTGACTAGCCCGGGTAGGGGCTACGTACTGCCTAAGCTCAAATGCGAGGTCCAACTCCTAGGAGGAATTTAGCATACAGAGAAAGTAGATGAGATTGCATTGTTTC